ATTTCATCGTCTGTGACGACAAAATGGCTTCAGGGGGTGAGTATCGTCGTCACTGACGACAAAATACAAGGCTAGCTTAGTCGGAACTATTTGATCGTCTGTGACGACAAAATGGGTTCAGGGGGTGAGTATCGTCGTCACTGACGACAAAATACAAGGCTAGCTTAGTCGGAACTATTTCATCGTCTGTGACAACAAAATGGCTTCAGGGGGTGAGTATCGTCGTCACTGACGACAAATTACAAGGCTAGCTTAGTCGGAACTATTTCATCGTCTGTGACGACAAAATGGCTTCAGGGGGTGAGTATCGTCGTCACTGACGACAAAATACAAGGCTAGCTTCCTGGGAACTATTTCATCGTCTGTGACGACAAAATGGCTTCAGGGAGTGAGTATCGTCGTCACTGACGACAAAATACAAGGCTAGCTTCCTGGGAACTATTTCATCGTCTGTGACGACAAAATGGCTTCACGGGGTGAGTATCGTCGTCACTGACGACAAAATACAAGGCTAGCTTCCTGGGAACTATTTCATCGTCTGTGACGACAAAATGGCTTCACGGGGTGAGTATCGTCGTCACTGACGACAAATTACAAGGCTAGCTTAGTCGGAACTATTTCATCGTCTGTGACGACAAAATGGCTTCAGGGGGTGAGTATCGTCGTCACTGACGACAAATTACAAGGCTAGCTTAGTCGGAACTATTTCATCGTCTGTGACGACAAAATGGCTTCAGGGGGTGAGTATCGTCGTCACTGACGACAAATTACAAGGCTAGCTTAGTCGGAACTATTTCATCGTCTGTGACGACAAAATGGCTTCAGGGGGTGAGTATCGTCGTCACTGACGACAAAATACAAGGCTAGCTTCCTGGGAACTATTTCATCGTCTGTGACGACAAAATGGCTTCAGGGGTGAGTATCGTCGTCACTGACGACAAAATACAAGGCTAGCTTAGTCGGAACTATTTCATCGTCTGTGACGACAAAATGGCTTCAGGGGTGAGTATCGTCGTCACTGACGACAAATTACAAGGCTAGCTTAGTCGGAACTATTTCATCGTCTGTGACGACAAAATGGCTTCAGGGGTGAGTATCGTCGTCACTGACGACAAATTACAAGGCTAGCTTAGTCGGAACTATTTCATCGTCTGTGACGACAAAATGGCTTCACGGAGTGAGTATCGTCGTCACTGACGACAAATTACAAGGCTAGCTTAGTCGGAACTATTTCATCGTCTGTGACGACAAAATGGCTTCAGGGGTGAGTATCGTCGTCACTGACGACAAATTACAAGGCTAGCTTAGTCGGAACTATTTCATCGTCTGTGACGACAAAATGGCTTCAGGGGTGAGTATCGTCGTCACTGACGACAAATTACAAGGCTAGCTTAGTCGGAACTATTTCATCGTCTGTGACGACAAAATGGCTTCACGGGGTGAGTATCGTCGTCACTGACGACAAATTACAAGGCTAGCTTAGTCGGAACTATTTCATCGTCTGTGACGACAAAATGGCTTCAGGGGTGAGTATCGTCGTCACTGACGACAAATTACAAGGCTAGCTTAGTCGGAACTATTTCATCGTCTGTGACGACAAAATGGCTTCAGGGGGTGAGTATCGTCGTCACTGACGACAAAATACAAGGCTAGCTTAGTCGGAACTATTTCATCGTCTGTGACGACAAAATGGCTTCAGGGGGTGAGTATCGTCGTCACTGACGACAAAATACAAGGCTAGCTTAGTCGGAACTATTTCATCGTCTGTGACGACAAAATGGCTTCAGGGGTTGAGTATCGTCGTCACTGACGACAAAATACAAGGCTAGCTTCCTGGGAACTATTTCATCGTCTGTGACGACAAAATGGCTTCAGGGGGTGAGTATCGTCGTCATTTCAAATTTTCATTTTTAAATTCAGAAAGTTTAGAAAAATTATTCCGATTTTCGCAAATGGTTGTTGGTAATAAAAATCTATGATGCATGAAAATGATGAGCAACATTGACGCACTGAATTTCAGGCTCTGGCCGCCCTCTTCCAAGAGTTTCTGCTGCGCGACAACGGCAAGTAGCTCTGGCGCTTCCCAACGTCAGTTATAGCTCGTCTCGTTTTCTCCCCTTTCTGAGTTTTCCTCCTACTTTTTCGCCTTTTTCTTTATGACGTACAATACCTAAACTCCCGTTTTCCAACGTGGTCAACGCCGGCCAGGACGACGGCTTCAAGTTCTTGGTGACGAAGACGCGGGGGCGGACGGTGCACGAGGTCCGTCGCTACTACGTCAAGAAGAACTTTACGTACGTCGCTGGTTTTCGAGGATCTGTTTCTTTTTAGGGCCCACGACGCGCTGCACGTCATCACTCACATGTACTTTGCCATCGAGTATCTCCACCAGCTCGGATATGTGCATGGGTAAGTGAGGGTGTTGGTCTAGAAATGCCTAGTAACGATATTTCCACTAGAAAACTATCTAAAAACTCAGAAAGTCGAAATTTTGGTAAACAAATGCCTTTTTTGGACGAAAATCGATGTTTTTGGACTTTTACTGAAGATTTGTAAAGGATTCACTTCTAAGAATAGGAAAAACAATTTAGAAACCCTTCCGCCATTTATATTTAGAAATTGGATCCTAAGAAATGTTTTTGCGTATGTTGTTTCAAACCAAAGTTGCAGCGACCTCTCGATCCGTAGCTTCTGCTTTGGTGAAGGTGAGAACGAGAACAACGTCTACATGTATCGGTTTGGCCGGTTGCGCAAGGCACGCGAGGAGGGCCGCTTCGCGTGAGTCACGTCTTTCATTACCCCTATTACTCCATTACCCTTATAAGCAGCAGCTACATCATCAGCAAGGAGCGCCCGGGCCCGATCTACTACAACGGCCAGAACAACATGTTCTGCCCCCGCACCGCCCACAAGCGCCAAGACTTTTGCCGTCGCGACGATCTCGAGAGCTGGCTGTACATCTCCGCCGACGTCTTTATGGAAGGCAATCCGCCGTGGCGACGCTGCAACAAGACCCGGTGAGCACGAGCTATGGGTCTAAGCAATGATCTGAAAGTTTGGGCATTCGATTGTTAGCGGGGGTAAAGCTTTGGCCTATCGCTTTATAGAGCCTCTATAATGCAATGAACACCACCGATCAAGCTTGTTAGACGGGTTTTAAGTAAAGAAATTCGTAAAAAGTTTAAAAAGTACATTGTTGCTTTTTACTCAAAAATTTCAAAATTCATGAAGTTTTCCAAATTTTTGCTAGTTTTTAGCAAATGAAAACTACTAAAAACAGGAATACACAGGAATAGTTTTGCTAGATAGCCTCCCCTCCCCGTTAACAGTCCAGTACCATACTTTTCAGCAACCAGCAGAGCCCGGAGCCGATCGCACTGCAGTGCAAGGAGCAATTCTTCCAGAGCGGAGGTACGCTGAAGCGATAATAATATGATATAGAATTTAAAATCTACAGAAAAGATCACCAACGACTTCTTCGAGGACGCGCCCAAGGAGATGAAGGCGCTCGTGCCCCAGATTGACGCGCTCGCCTTCGACCACGTGCCCAACTATGACGCGTTCCGCGGCGCCCTCACCGCGCTGGTGGGGTGTTAAAGGAGCTCGGAAGTCAAAATTCGTACCTGCGAGGATTGAACCTCGTTTTTCTCGTTTGAATTGGGCAAATCGACAAATAACCACAATTCTCTTTTAGCGCAAGAAGCTGCCAATGGGCAAGGCGCCGAAATGGGCGGGCCATTCGAGGACCAACGTCTACCCCAAGCGCCCCACAGTAAAGGGTACAGCCAAGAAGCGCACTTTCTAGGCCTGCTTTAGTCGGCCTACGTTGATTTAACCGATTTTTGATAGTGCTTGTTAATTATGCTTTGTAGTATAGTACTAAGTTTAAAAACGAGTACAATAGCGGAATTTAGTGATTTAGTAATTAGTACTCCACTAAATTTGAAGGTTAAAAAAGTAGGTTAAATTAATCCATATCGCTTTAGCCACGAAGAAGAAGTCGAAGAAGAAGAAGAAGGGCAACCAGAGCCGCGAGCAGACCGAGGACGAGGAGGAGGAGGAGGAGGAGTCGCAGGTGAACAAAAAGAGGAAGGTGGGCAGCCAGGCCTTCCGCCAAAATATCCCTGCAAATTCAAGAGGAAGTCGGGGAAGAAGAGCCAGGGCAAGCAGCTGAAGCGCAAGGCCTCCCGTGAAAACGTCTCGGCCGAACAGGAGGAGGGCGAAGAGAAGGACAACTACATCAACATCAACCTGTTGCGAAAGGCCGTCGCCAGTCAGAAGGATGCGGTCAGCATCTGAAATCAATCTACTATAATAATTTTGCTGTGGTGTCCGTCCGTCCGTCCGTCATGTCCCGGATTCAACTCGAAGGGGAAAGGAGCTAGAGCTTAGGTCTCTTCGGATTCGGATAGAGCGTGGTCAGAAACCCCCAAACTGATAAAAAAATTACGAAAAAGTTTTAGTTTAAATTATTAAAATTAACTTTGAAATTTTTTTTGCTTAGTAAAAGGGGAGGGGGACGGAGGTTGGGGTGATTTTGGACATAGTGAGCCAGGTTGCGCGCGTTTCGTGGATGAAAATTTTCACGGGAGCCATTTCATTTCTTTTATTTCTCCCACGTATCCGGTCGGTCGTTATGTTAGTTTTTAAGTGGATTTAGGCTAGGGGAGGTATCTAAAGCCATCAGAAGGGTATCTATGTAGTTTTTAAGGGGATTTCGGCTAGGGGAAGTATCTAAAGCCATCAGAAGGGTATCTATGTCGTTTTTAAGGGGATTTCGGCTAGGGGAAGTATCTAAAGCCATCAGAAGGGTATCTATGTCGTTTTTAAGGGGATTTCGGCTAGGGGAAGTATCTAAAGCCATCAGAAGGGTATCTATGTAGTTTTAAGGGGATTTCGGCTATGGGGGGTATCTGAAGCCATCCGGAAGGTATCGTAGTTTAGGTAGCTAAGTTTTTGCAGGGGTGTGGCCATAGAAGGTATCTGAAGCGACCAGCGTGGGTATTGATGCAGGGAGAGGTGTAATGTGGTGTTGTATAACATGGAGGGTAGCCCGAAGGCCAGTCGATTACAGTCGCGAAGCGGCTGTAATCGGCTGGTAGCAGATATTTCAAAAGACCGGTGTTGCTTGCCACACATCTGAAAACGTGTCTTGCCAGGATTACACAAAGCTTCCATTTTGATCCACTACTTTAGGACGACGAGCCGGCGAGGAAGGCCAAGAAGGCGAAGCGGCTCTAGGGCCAGTCGTCGTACAGCAAATTGGGCGGCGCCGGGGCCTCGTCGAAGACCTCGATGATGGGCAAACCGACGTCCAACTCCGGGAGAACCGCCGAATAAGCACAGACCTGCCAAGCCAGCACCAAGTAGCCGCTCTTCCTGCTCCATTAATTACTTATGATTGCCCGCCCTCTCGAAATGTGCCGTTCTCTTCCGCGCGGCTGTGAATAAAGAAATTTTTGGTTGCTTCCGTGACTTTTGTATTTTACAGACGATTAATGTACTAATGAAAAACCAACGCCGCAGGCGAAAAATAGGCTTTCTCGAAGTAAACCTGCCTTAAAAACAGTCACAAACCGCACCGCAGGCACAAAAATTTTTGTAAAAAAATGATAAGGGTCCCCCCTTATCAACTATTCGGACCTCGACCGATTTCGGGGCGGGGGGCAGGGGGGCAGGGCCCCCTGCCCCGCCCCCTCCTACGGGCCTGAGCACAACTGACCAAAAAACTATCCCTGGCCATCAGCTATCACCGCCGAGCTAGCTCTCACAATTTAGCTGGATTAAAGTTTATCCTTATCACCACAGGGCATCATTAGTTACCCGTAAAATAAGACATCGCCGTCACATCGCAAAAGCACAAAATAGGGCGTACAGATAGGTGGTGTGAGCCAGTTGGAGAGAAAATAGAGCGCTGAAACGAGTTCAATGCAATAAAAATCACGAATAAAATGGAGCTTGGGGGCCTTGTCGAGACAGCGGGCGAGCCCACGAAGCATTAGATCAGTTGGTGTTTGTTGTAGAGGCTGTTCAAATGAACGGCGTCGATGACGAACCGGACCGGGCGGAGGCACAAGCAGTAGAGCAGGAAGGCGAACACGAGTAGCATACCGACGACCCTGAAATTCAAGGATTATAGTCAGGCTGGTTGAATCGAAGCGCCTAGAAAGACCTAATAGCACACTTGCGTCCCAAATATTGCACCCAATTGCGCTAATTTTTCACCACAAACTTTATATGTTCTACCATTTAAAACCCTAGTTAAATAAGCTAAATATTGTTTTCGACCAGTTTTCCGGTGAATGTCTCGAGCAACACTAACAAGACCCTTATAAAGTCTCTCACACTCCGAACATGCCGCCGACGTAAGTCCCGCCGATGGGCGCAGCGACGACGGTCAGGCTCGAGTTGTCGTCACTAAATGCCAGAATTGCTGAAGAACATAGATAGACGCTTACCCCGTCTTTGGTAAGAGGGTCGTTGTACTCTCATCGCGAAGCCGCAACACCTCTTCGTACTAGAAAAGTCAGTTAGTCCAAACCCAAATCAGGCATAAAACCGCAAATAAAGTACCTCGGCTTTTAGCTTGGCATTTTCGTGACAGGTCTCCACCAGTTGTTCCTGCAAACTTCGGACCGTCTGCTCGAGGTGGCTGTGGTCGTTGGTAAGCTGGAGAAGCAGAGTAGAATATGGGGAAATGATGATACCTCGGAAAAAATAGAATCGCCGCCGGCTGGGTCGAAGTAACTGCAGGCGCTGCTGGCTGCCTGTGAAGACGTGAGCTCTTCTTTTTCTTCCTTCAGCTTCTAAAAGACAATTTTAACAGCAGGATGGATATCGCAAAAGAAATGTTTCTAGAAACCCGCCTCCAACTCGATATTCAGCGTATTCATCTTGAACAACTTGTCATCATGCGCCGCCTCTAGAGCTTGTAGTTGCTCTTGGCACGTCCGAAGTTCCGCCTTCAAATTAACGATTAGCTCCTCCGCTTCCAGGCAACGCGAGTTCAGATCAGCCTAAAAATAGCTGTTAGCAGCGATCTCGGACACAGTACGTTCACAGTTTGCAGCTCCAGGTATTCTGCGTATGAACGGCCCGACTGTTCATCCTCGGTTACAAATGATGCCTGCAATAAGCCGTCATGACTAGAATAAGCCAAACGCACCCCCATATTGGTGTTTGGTGGGTTTTCCTCAAATGAGATTTCGACTGTGGCCGCCTTGATCTGCTCGTTTTCTTGGCGGAGCTTCTAAAACACGAATATAGTCGTAATAAATGATGGATTTCAACCGCTAATTCGCGTTCGAATTTGTGCTTCTCATCATCCCGTAGTTGATTAGCTGATTCGAGTGAAAACAAGTGTTCCTTCCTCTCTTGGTCGAGCTAAACAAAAGATAAATAGACTAAAAATTATTACCTTCTTCTCCAGTTCCCTATTTTCCTCGAGGACCACTTTGTGCTTGTTGTCTAGTTCGTTGTAGTTTTGGTCGTTTTGCTGAAGAACTTCCTCTATGTCGCGGAGGCGGCTCCGGAGACGATTGTTCTCCTGAACAGTTCAAGTCAATTAGTGATACCTTACATACTTGAAATTCTGCCAAAAAATAGGTGGATCGAATGGAATACCCACATAGATTAGTTGTTTAGGATCGTCCAGCAACGCAGCGTCACCCATTATACCAGCGGGAGGGAAAGTACCAAAGTGCTGCACGCTCAATGCTAGAAAAACCGGCAAAAAAGGAAAATATTGCGCGAGCTTCAGATGAGGCTTGAGTAGCAATGTTTGAAAATGCAAATACTTTATGAACGTGAAATAAAGAGAAAGACGAACAACGGATTAACAATAATAAATGCAAATAAAGCTGCCATGGAATGAATGGCCGAAGCTACACGGATACCAACGATAATCTTAGGTTCATTGAATGTTTAATACTCCTCAGGCTCCGTTTTGATGCGCTTCACGTCCTCATCCAGCGGCACAAAGTAGGCGCTACGGTCGAAGTAATCGCCCGCCTTCGTCTCCAACCAGTCCAAGAAGCCCTGGAGGCTACTAAAAATACAAATTAGGGTTCTGTTCTATTTCGCGGGGGGAATATGCTTCGCGGAACCTTCCATCTTTTCGCTATTTTCTCGGGATTTTTGCAACGTCATTGGATAGAGCATCAAAAAATATACTAGAGTTTTTGTTTTAGCTAAAAATATTGTAATATAAGAAAGTTATAGCAAAAACAAAAAAAAACTATTGAAACTGGTTCCGGAATGCTAGTTTTCGGCATTTTCGCCAGTTTTTCGATATTTTGAACCCGACATTCGATAGAGCATCAAAAAATAGACGAAAATTTTTAATTTCATCTAAAAATATTGTTTTATAAAATAATTATAGCAAAAACAAGGTTTAGTCGGTGTTTCCACATGGGATCGTGTAGTCGAAAGCTAGTTTTCGGCATTTTCGATAACTTTCAAAAATTTCTTTAATGCCATTCGATAGAGCGTCAAAAAATATACTAAGAGTTTTAATGACAACTCAAAGTAGCATCATATAAAAGAGTTATAACAAAACGAAGAAAATCCCCCCCCGCGAAATAGAACAGAACCCAAATTAGAACTGGATAACATGCCGAGGCTATCATATAAGGAATGAAACCCACCGAGCATTTCTCTCAATGTGGCCCTGGGGCATAGGGATCTCTTGGTACTTCCTCGGCAGGAACGCCAGGAGCCTGAGGAGATGCGGCAGGCCATACGATTCTGACGGAAGTGCGCCCTGGGAGGCATTGTATTCTGAAAACAAAGCTTTCAATATTTAGATAGTTCTCACTTGGGTCCAGCGGATCTTTTAGGTGCAGAGTATTGTAGTGCGAAAGCTCGGTCTTGTAGAGCAAGGAAGTGCTAAAGACAAGGTTACATAATATAACAAAATCGTACCCGAGGCTACAGTCGAAAAAGAAGCGCAAGTAGACGAGTGGCTCCACTAGATCCTCGTCCTCACCGAGCACCGGCTTCTCCCGCTCCAACACGCCGTCACGCAGTTTGCCGATAGAAGATAAGTACTAAAAATGAAAGTTTGAAAAACAATCGGGTATACCTCTTTCAGAATCACGTCGACTGGTTGTTTTGCGGGATACGTGGGCAGCTGGCCTAGGCGATCGACCTGCAAAATCAAACAGCGTACTGACAAATATCTTCCAATACCAGATCATAATCATCAACGACGATCTGGCGCAGCGCGTTCGGTAAGCGGAGCGTCATGACGAACTGCAAAGTAATAAAACGACAGTTATGACCTTTCCGAAATTAAAACAAAACAGCACGCCGGTAAGAAAAAAAAGTTACCGGTTTTAGCTCCTCCGGCTCGGACTGCTGCTCTTCTTTAACCTTCACCACAACGGCCTCGCTGCGCTTGGGAGGGTTGCTTCGGACTAGAAGGAAGAGAATATAATGACAAGAAAATACAAACCTTCCGAGTTGGTCACTTTGCTCCTTGGTGTGACGGATTTTCCCCTAGCGCGAGTGATTGATTTCGAGCCCTAAAAGTACAGGTTTCAAAGCGTGTCAAAACCCCGATATGAGGAAACAGAGCAGTAAAACGCTGCAACACCCACCAGGCTCTTGCTGCGTTTTTTCTTTTGCTCCTGCGCTTTAGCGAGGCGCACTTCCTCGCGGGCTTCATCTGCCGCCTCCCGCGTGTAGGGCTTCCAGGAGTCTGCTACTTGTTCTTCGCTGAAGACATCGTCGTATCGCTTGCCCCATCCCTAAAATAATAAAAACATTTTGAAGAGGATAGAACTTGTACCGGGAAGTGGACGCGATAGTAATCCTTGTTGTCCTCTTGGCTGATCTCGTCGATTTTGGCCGGGTACCAGAGACCGTCCGACCAGCGGGCCATCACCATATCTCCGACGCGCCATTCTGTCTTCCCAGACATTGCTTCGCAATGTTGAACCTAAAAAACACGGTTCAAAAGGGGGGCACTCTGGGAAACAAGGTATGGCAAAGTGAAGTACGGAATATCATGTACGCCCGGTGTTAGCAAAAGAATCGAAAACAGGCGGCGGGGATCAGCGTACAAACTAAGGAGTTTTTCCGCTGATTTCAAAACAAGCAAACTGTTATTCGGAAAACAAAAGTTTCGAGCCATTTTAGTTAGTTTTTGTTTTCCTTGCAATTTGACTCGTACCAATAGTCCTAGAATCCTAGAAGACAAGGCGGGAATGTTTCGGGGGACGAATCCGGTGAAAAATTGCAGATTGCACGCGATAGGCGAAATGCACGAAACTGGTTCAAAACTAAGGAAACAAAAGAAATGTCCAATGCAAAAAAGGCGAGCGATGGAAAATCGCTTCGCGAAAAAATGGTCCATAAGTAAAAATCTTCGCTCGTATCCCGGAGTACGCGGAAGAACGCTGTCCCTTTCCGTCAATTGTATTGCCGCGTTGCGACGATTGATTTTACATTTTTTCAAGTTTTTTTCAAATGAAATCACTGAAATCAATAACATTTCCGCATTTACCCGTGTCTTTCGAAAAATATGGTGCGATGGATGGTATCCTGGTCTGCCTATCTCGTACGATTTATTAAAAACCACCGTGACATCGAGCTAATTAAAAACGTAAAAGTATCATGTCGAAAATTCTTGTATGAGGTAGTCGAATCGCTCGGTCAAGACGTCGGCTTCTGGGCCGGTGCGCAGCGCGGCAGAGGGTCCGTGTGTGAAGCCAAGTGCTGGGACAAGAAACAGCGCCTGGAAATCCAAGTGTATTGATGGGAATCCAAGCAAGCCGAATTCATAATACCCAAAGGCGCAAAAATCTTTTTGCCACCGCGGGAAATTCAGCAAAGACAACCAACCTGTAAGACGGTGAGTAGTCGCGGTCGAAACGCCGCCTTTTCTCAGTGGATGAGGATCGTGTAAAGCCCATGCCTCGCCTCTTTCACGATGTTAATCTGAAAAATGAAGATTCTTGACGATATTAGTCTGCAAAAAAACGCCGAAAATACGTCACGACCAATCGCGGCGCGATATTTTTAACCGAACAGCTCCCAACTTTGATATAAGTGCTAATTTTCTGTGCTTGGGCTCCTACGCAAAGAACCCTTTTGAAAAAATTGCTTATCAGCATTGCTTTAGAGTGATTTAAAGTAGTAAGTTGTCGTTCCGCAAGTGTCGGTAGCCGCCTGTAAAACCAACCTGACATAAATGCCTCCCGCGTGTCGGCGGCGATGATCAGTCGGACTTCGGGTGCTTCATCTGCAACATGGACGCGCGTCGAGACGATGAATCGTAGCAGCAGCGCCGGCGTCAACGTCACGGGTCTGCCACACAACAGATAGGCCAATTGCCCCGGGATCGGAACGGAAGAACCCTGCAAATATGGCATTCGAAAAACCATCAGTGCAGTATTGACGAAACAGTTGATCAGATGGCGATGAGATGCGCACTTGGCTGTTTCGTAAAGCAGCTGCTTGGCTGGTTTAGAATAAGTGTGCTATTCAATACAAGTGCCAAAAAATTTATTACCTTTCTACCGCAAAGAAAAAACAAGCACGCATATGGCGTCGAGGTGCGGGCTAGCAGAAAATTCACAAAACTCAAAGGCACATAGGCCTGGCGGAAAAAATTCAATAACACAAAAGAGCACAAAGGGGGAGGACTAATATTAAACAGATTAGATATCACCACGACTTAATGAGAATTAATCGAGCGGGTTGTCGAGATGTAAGTTCCGTGCAGGATTGGTGAATTATTAATATTAATTTCCTTTGCTTGGCGACTAATGCGGTGTGGCTGACGGAGTTGGCGCCGATGAGAGCCAGTTGATGAACTTGTCCATTTTGTCCCGCCCACACAGGTCCTTGGTGTACATGCCGCCGAAGGGCGAAGGCGGGTCCGGGAAGTCGAACATCGGCCTAACGTGGTTGAAATTGACACAAATAAATTCACCTTTGCCCATTGGTAGATTTCGGCGAAAGCAAATTGAGCAGTTTCTGGAGGTCGAGCAATGGTGGCTCGCGCTCAAGTCTTCCGCGAGGACTGTAGTGATAGCTGTCCGCTGGGCTGGAGAGATGGCTACGATTGTGAGAGCCTACGAATAACAGATTATTCGAAACCGAAAAAAGGGCTTACCCGAGTGAGGTTTCGTGGCCACCGTCGGGCGGTATGTGCCGTTGATGATGGAGAGGTCAATCAGCTGCTTACGCTTCAGCTCATCTTTGCCCTCCGGCTAAAACAGACGGAATAAATTATGGCAGAACTATCTACCGGAGGGTTCAGTAGGACGTTGACCTTATCGATCGCGTACTCCAGCTTCTTCCTGCACACATCTTCGTAGTCCTCACATTGGACAATCACGTTCAGCGGTTCCTGGAAAAATTCATGTCGCAAAAAAGGAAAGATACCATGCTCTGACCACGTCCGCGGACCATAATTTTGCACCCGGTTTCTTGCTCGACCTGTCTGGCAGTCATTCCGCGAGGGCCAAGGATACGGCTGACGAAGTTATACTTTGGGTACTTGTCGACGGGCA